AAGCTTACCTAGTGAACAAAATCTTTCTTTCCCATGAAGTAACTTAGCCTTGAAGTTCTCTAATCTACCATATCTTCTTTAGCGTACATGTTAATGAGATTTGATGCCTTTGCTTGCTTAGTGAAGCCCTATTCTTGGGTAAGCGAGCTTTAGTGCCTACTGAGGTTACTTGGCTTTTCACTACCCTTTTCTGGCTCAGCGAAGCCATGTTCTTGGTTAAGCAAACTTTGGGGCTTGATAGTTGCATTTTGTCTATTTTGACAATTTCTTGGCAAGTTCATACAAGCATTTTATCGGGTTATATTAATAAATTAAGGATTTTTTTCATTGATTTCTTGCAAAATAGGTTAATAAGTGCTTATGTATTTTACATATTTTTAACACTTATTAATAGGTCAAACTCAGGCCTTAAACTTTTTTCGTAAGCCACACTCAAGCTTCTAAGCTCTGACATGACCTAACCTATTTCTATTCTATGTGAGAGTAAATGGATTTGAATACCTGAGAATGACACACATCTTCTCTTAAATAGTAGGAATGGTTTAAAGCAGAAAGCATATAGTGAGGCGTAGATTGGAGTCACTTGTCTGATTGACCTGGATGACCAAAAGTGCTCCTATAGAGGTGAAATTCCCCGCTTTAGGAATAATATAGGACTACATCTTCTTCGCGCTTACTACCTTTACTTTATCATGGGCCTTTTGTCTAGGGCCTCATGAGAGGGCCAAAACAAAATTTTATATATATATATATATATATATATATATATATATATATATATATATATATATATATATATATATATATATATATATATATATATATATATATATATATATATATATATATATATATATATATATATATATATATATATATATATATATATATATATATATATATATATATATATATATATATATATATATATATTTCGGGCTAATCAAAATAGTCTAACATTATTTTAGAATCGAGAGTGAGAGTAATTTATATACAACACACATATACCTAACGAGAGATATATTTTTTTAAATAACAAACCTGTGAGAGTTCTCATACCCAAAGAGAATAATACCTCGTAGCTGCAACGGTGCAGGTACGAGGTCAATTAGAACATTGAATTTGATTATGAAAACTCAAATTAACATCATGCTCCTTAGCCTTCACTGGGGGGGGGGGGGGGGATTGTTCAGTAATGACCACAATAGTTCCACATTTCTTGGGAATCAAGACTAAAGGTAGTTTATATACAACACCTTCACACCTCAATCCAACGAGGCACTTTTTCTAAAAGACAAAGTTATTAGGGTTCTAACACCTAAAACAAACAATATCTCGTAGCCGCAATGACATTAACTTGAGGTCGACTGGAACACAAGTTGATTTTTGGAGTTTTCTCAAGTAAGATTGGAGTTAGCACCTCATTTCAAGTTGAACTGAATGAAATCATGCTTATTATCGAATTTGCTAAATGATAAATTAGATAAATTTTTGGTTTGAAACTGACTCAATGTTTGTCATTCGTGCATTTTCTAATGTGAATATTATCCTTTGACATTAATAAAAGAATACTTTTCGCACTACATTCCATGTCACACTATTGTTTTTTCTTATTATTTGATACCGTTTTTTTATAAGCAACATTGTATTAAAAAAATGAGTACTAGGGATATTCAAACCCGAATACAACAATAATAACGATAAATGCATCAAAGAAAATCCAGAGCATATTTACACCACTCATAGAAATTACTATTCAACCAGTTCGCTTCAATTTGAAGCCACCGTCAAGAAAACATCTTAATTTTGCACACTATATCTTCCACATCTTCTTTCTCATTGTTGAAAATGATGTCATTTCTGGTCTTTCATAGACACCAAAATGCAACCAGCCATATAGCCCTCTCTCTGCCATGCGACACTTCCCCTTCAGACGAGATTGAAAATTCAGAAAATGATCATAGCAAAATTGAGTGGTATAGTTCATCCCATCAATATTTAACCAATCAAAAATTAATTGCCAAATTCGATGCAAAATCGGACAGCTAAACATAATATAGTCAATATCTTCCGACAACTCATTATACAAGACGCAGAGCTTCTCATCTTCATTAGTGATTATCCCTCTCATCTTCATTAGTGATTATTTGATACCATTAAATTTTATATCTTTTTTTCTTCTTCTTTTTTAATCAATAATTATTTTTATTAAAAGAATATATTCTACTGTATTTGAATTTGAGAAGTTAAGTTTAAAGAGAGAGAAAATGAATGAAAAAATAAAATGAACTAATCCGACTTGTTTATGTAAGTAATTTCAATATGATCTCTTTTAATGCAACTTATTAAAAAGATTAACACTACAAACATAAAATAATATATAAAAACCAATTTTTATATAAACGAAGAATTTAAAAAACCATTCCAAGAAATGCTCAAACTTAAAGGATGGGAGACATGATTTTCCCTGGTCTACTTTTCTTTCCTTTAAAAGATTATTTTGTTCCTTATCAACCAGAAACTCACCACCACTAACCAAATAATTTCCCACCCTACCAATTTTCTTCTGCATTAATTTTCCATAAAACTATACTAGAGAGTTCTACGTTGATCAATTTGCAATTTCAGCAGCCTTGTAGGACAAGCTATTCTAAGTTATAGTATTAGGAGTAGAAATATGATTTAAAGGAAAGTGAAAATAAATACTAGTAATTACGTATTACTTAGGCAAGTTTAATTGTAGAAGCTAGAATGTAGAATTACATTTTCAAAATGCTAACTGACATTAACTAGCCTATTCAGAAAGTTAATTACAAGTAACTTGTTTCATGTCTAGAACCGTCCTTTGAAAATTTATGAAATCCATGTCACCAAAATAAAATTTCATATATAGTTACGCTCTATACTGTGCTATATAGCTTTTAGCCCTTGACTTTCTATCACTTTCTTATAGACCATAATTTATTTTTCTTTACTGCTATTAAATTAGTAAATTATGTGTAGCGTACGTTATACTCCTTTCAACAAACATACATCTCTATTAATTTATTTATTTCATTCTTATATTATTTTTTTTTGGAAATAATGTCTGAAGTTTAAAATTATTTTGATTTTAATTTATATAATAAAAACTCGTAGGAAAAATTTAAGAAAAATTTGCATGAAACCTATCCGTTTTCATGCCGATTTTAATTTTAAGAACTAAAACTAAAAGAATTTTAACATTTAAAATTATTTTCAAGAAAAATAAGATATAGAGACGAAAAATAAAAAATTCGTCAACTTATATAAATCAAAAAAACTATTTAAGTCAATATTTTTTTATATGAAGACTTAGAGGAGAAAGTGTATATAGATATTTCATCATGCTTTGATCTTACTATTGGAAACAATAGCTTGTATCAATTGAAAAAGACCTTATATAGATTAAAGCAATCACATCGGGCCTCATTTGGAATATTCACATAGGCCATATTGTGCTTGAACTATAAGCAAAGTCAGAAAGATCACACGTTCTTCAAATATTCACCATGAGAAAAACTAACTACACTTATTTTTTAGGTTGGAGTTATTATTGTTACATTTGATGATTTGATTATGAGATAACTTCTCGAAGGAAATTTATCAACAAAGTTTGAAATGAATGACTTTTGAAAACAATATTTCTTAAGAATTGAGGTAGCTTACTCAAAACAATGCATCTTTATCTCTCATAGAAAATATGTACTTGATCTTTTACAAGAAACATAGAAACTTGGATGCAAACCAGCAAGTGTTACGTTGAGCAAAACTATATGTAGAATAAGCTTCGAGGAGAAAAGTATCAAAGTTGACAAGAGTCTGTATTAGAATTTGCGAGAAAGTTGATTTAGTTAGCACATACTAAGCCGAAGCTGGCATATGCAGTTGGCGTGGTCAGCCAATTTATACATAATTCAAGGGAGAGTGCATATTGTAGAACTTGATCTACAATATCTCAAAACCACTCCAGTGAAATGAGTTTTGTTTAAAAGAGTTGAAAATCTAACTATGAAAGTCTTTATTGAGGCCAATTTTACAAGTTTAGCGAGTGATACAAGATCTATTTAAGATTATTATGCACTCATGTGTAGGAACTTGGTTGCTTTAAGAAATAAAATGTAGTTTTTCATTCAAACTCGAAATTTAGAGTTATGACACAAGGAATTTGTAAGCTATTGTAGATGAAACAAGTGTTAGAAGATTTAAAGATATATTGTAAAGGTCTAATAAAGTTGTTTTGCAATAAAAAATCGGTCATCAGTATTGCACGTAATCCTTTTCAGTATGACAAGACAAAACACTTTAAGACTGATTGACATTTCATTAAAGAAAAATTGAATAATAAATTGATAACTACAATTTTCATTCCTTCTAAATAAATATCAACTAACATCGGTTCACCAATATGATTTATCAATATAACAATTCAATCAATTTCGTTTTGAACTTAAAATGATTGATATTCATTCACAAATTTAAAAAGAAGTGTTGCAAATATTAAATAAAAATAGTAATTTATAGTATTAATCTATGGTCCATTAAACAAAACTCGTTAAATTTATTTTATTCTTTTCAATTTAAATAAAATTATTTTTCATTAGTGTAACTACTACTTTTAATATATCAAAACTTTATTTTACAAGATATACGATTTTGAATCATACATTTGAGAAACATATTTGGTGATTAGAAACGTAAAATATTTTTCTTTTATTGGAGACAAATAATCAAAATCATATTAAATTCTATTTTATCTCAAGTATGATTCACCATGAACCTACGTGCTATAACTTTGGGTTTTCGCCTGCTATCAAATGAACTTTGCTATTCTCAACATTCACCAAACAGTGAGAAATATAATCCTCAAGATGCATGAAAGAAATTTAACAAGGAATAAGCAATGGAGAAATAACTGAATTGCTTGATTTTCTGAGTTTTATTCATAATATAAAAGATAAGAATATTCCAGAAAACATTGCTCAGTTGTTGTTAGGAGAAACAGAAGAAGGCTTATTAGAAGAAACTCCATGACCCTCTTCTCCATTTTGAACTGTATCAAGAATGCAGAAACCTGGTAATCCATCAGAAACAAACCTGCAGCTTCCAAAGATTGAAGCTTGATGATGAACTGGTTGTGATCTGTGATGAACCTCTGAAGAAGAATCCATAGGAATTTCATTCCAAGACAAAGCCGAATGCGAAAGATTCGACTCAAGTGTCTCATTTGGATTGTAATCTGAACCTTGACCTAGAAAAGGATTTGAGTTTACCATGAACCCTACTTTCTTTATATAATCATTGGTTGTTTCATTGTCCCAATTCACATGATACTGGTTATCAAAAAGTGTTTGGTTATGGTTTTCGTTTTCGTTTTCGTTTTCGTTTTCACATGGTTGTTGTGATTGCCAAGGAATGAAACCATTGTGATCTTGGAAGGAATGAAGAGAGAGCCCAAGGTTTTCAGAAGGGTAGTTTTGAAAATTAATGGATGAAGAAGTAGAAGAGGTAGTTGGAAAGAAAGGTATAGGATCGATGAAACCTGAACTAGGGTTATCTTGATCCTCACGCAATTGATTTAGCAGATGAAAACTATAACCATTCGATGATTCTCCCATAACCATGCCAGTTGAGAGTGCAGCTACATTCTGTTCTTCCTCTTGAAGGTTTAGGGTTTGAGTTTTGCCGAGTGGATGCCACGAAGGAAGCTCGGCGAGCTTATCAATGGAAGGTTTTGCTTTTCTGATGAGCCAATCCACTGCTCTACTTGGTCTGTCATAGCCAAGACGATCTTGAACATCGTAGAATTCAATGGCTGTGTGTGCTGAGAGACGAACCCTGCGATCGCGAGGTCCTTTCGATGTGTAAACCTTGCTGTGACTATCTTTCTTACCGGAGGATCGAACTATGTGTCCTCCTTCAACTCCAACTATCTTTCCTTCGTTGCTCCTCATCTTTATTTCTGTTTGCTTTCTATGAAAACTTGTTTCTATTTGGTGGGGTTGGATATTTATTGACAATAAATCAGCTCTAGATGAGAGAGTTGAGATCTTTTAACTTAATTATAAATTCTCAGAAGGGCCTAACTTATTTTAGGACAACAAAATCCTTATTACAAAAGGTTTAAGACATGGTTTTAAATTCATGAGTTAATTTTACAATCGCTTAAATCATAATTACTGATTTAAAACCACGCATTAATAAATCATATTAGATAATTTCACCCATGTTTATTAAAATTTAAAATTTTAAAAATCTAATATTTAATTTTTTTTAATATAACTTTTTTTTAATAAACTTTATATGTATTTTAACTAGTATATTTAAGGCAAAATACCCTTTTTGGTCCTTTAAGTTTACCCCAAGGTCCATTTTGGTCCTTTATCTAAAAAAAGTGTCAAACTGGTCCTATAATTCTTTCAAAAGGACCATAGGAGTCCTTTCCGTCCAAAAGGCACAAACGGACGTTTGGTTTGCATGCGTGGCAGGTGACATGGAATGTTATGTACACCATCTTCAAGCTGCTTCCAGAAATCCTCAAATTCTAGGGTTCACACATTGCATCTCAATTTTCCCATTTTGAATTTGAAATTCCCTCAATATGATGAAGGAAGCATCATCAGAGATCCGGTCTTCGTACGATTGCAATAGAGATGGAAGCTTAGATGGAAAGTTGCGATGGAGACCTATATGTGGTTGTGGAGAATCTGCGGTTCTTCGAAGGGCTACCACTGTCACAAACTTTGGGAAGCAATTCTGGGGTTGTCGTCATTACAAGGTAAGCATGAAATTAAAATGGGTTTTCATATATTCTTGTTCTGATAGTTCCTGCAATAGCTGAGATGAATCTGGATGTCACCATTACAGGGTTCATCTGAATCTGGGTGTGGATACTTTCAATGGTTCTTTGATGATGTTGTGGATGAGAAGGATCAGTTTATAAAGAAGCTGAATAATAGGTTGGAGAAGCTGCAAAATGAGCTTGATGGAGCAAAGATGGAGATACATCATCTAAAGGAAAGGAAGGATGGGCTGAAACATAAGATAATGGAGTTACAAATTGAAATGAAGAAGATGATGAATTCTCAGAAAAAATGGAAAAGATTCTTCTTTATTATGTTAGTTGTGATAATTTGGATGATGTTGTAATAGACTGTTGAATTGAGATTATATGTAATAGAGTATCATATGTAACACAGTCTCAATTTGAACATGGTATCATTATGAATTTGAATTTTTGTATCAACTTGAATTTTTGAACTAGTAGCATTTTGATCAATGTAACATACTGTAAAACATACTGTAGCAATTTTTGTATCAATGTAGCATTTTGATCAATGTAACATACTGTAAAACTAGTAGCATTTTTGTATCAATGTAAAACATAATGTAACATATTGTAACTAGTAGCATTTTGATCAATGTAACATACTGTAGCAATTGAAGATAAGTAACAACATATAATTATAAGGTGGTGGATACCACTAAGTTGCATACAAAAGAACCTGATATTACAGGTTCAATCAAAACAGCCTGATATTACAGGTAAAAAAAAAAACAAAACAGCTTGATATTACATGATCAAAACAACTTAACATAACCAATTCTAATATTACAAGTTAACAAAACAACATAATAACTATAGGTCCAATCCTAATCCAAAATAGACATAAAAGTAAACTAAAATTTCCACTTTGGTGCTGCTCTTTTAGTTGGTGTTGTCCTTCTTGTTGTTAGACCTACAACAGTTATTGATGCCTTTAACCTCGTTGTTGGACCTGGTGGGACAAATGGTGCATTTGGCCTTCTAACTGACAACTTTTTGGATGATTTAGATTGAGATGGCTGAGAAGCTTGACCAGGAACTGACTTAGATGCTTGAGATGTCACTGGTACAAATGCCACTGGTACAGATGCTTGAGATGGTTGAGAAGGCACTGGTACTTGTGGTACAGATGGTGCTTGTGGTACAGATGGTTGAGCTGCATGTGGTACTTGTGTAGTAGTTGTCTGACTAGTAGAAGGCACCTTACAAGTAAGCTTGTTGTGACCTACCTGCTTACACCTGCTACACTTTATAATGAATCTCGTTCTTCTCATCTTTTTATCAGTACCATCTAGCTCACCTTGCTCTAAATTCCTCTTTTTCTTTGGCCTTCCAGGAATTTTCCTGAATTTGGGTGGCATAACATCAGGGTACTGAGTTGTAACCCATAGGTTTGAGCCATTAACAGGGAATATGACAGGTTTGTACACTTGCAAATATCTAGATTTCCTGTAATAATCAGGAATGTATTCATCAATCCTATGGTTCCTATTCTTGATTGCTGCAAGTGAATGAACACATGGTAGGCCTGTTAGCTCCCATCTTCTGCATGAACAGATTTTTTTCTTCAAGTTTACAGTGAATTTTTCAGCAGAATTTTCCAGATGCCTCACTTCAAACATATGCTCATCAGACATCCTAACACAGAAAAATGGACATTCCAAATTAAGACATCAAATGGACATTCCAAAGTCAGACATTCTAACACAGAAAAAAATGCTTGTTTTAATAATTTAACCTGGGAAGCCACATGTTTGTGATTGAACTTGTTTTCTCAACCTTTTTCATAATGTTTGGCAACACTTCTACATCTGTCAATTTCTGAAACCTCATCTTGTTTGTAGCCCATCTCTCCATCATGTATATCCTAATTTCTTCCACCATGGTTATTAATGGCTTGGCCCTTGACTCCAAAATAACACTATTAAAGGATTATGACATATTATTGAGAACTGCATCGCATTTGTTATGAGTCTTGAAGTATGATCTGCTCCAAAACTTTGGAGGGGTAGACATCATGTGCTTGTATGCTTCTCCATTGATATGTTTCATAACTTTCATCTCTCTTTCCCAAGCTTGGTAGTAAGTTGATTTGGATGCCTTCCATATAATTTCCTTTAGTTTTTTTCCTGGAAATCTCTTCCTAAAGTTGTTGTAGAGATGCCTAACACAGAATCTTTGTTCAACTGTAGGCAACAGTTCCTCCATTGTAAGCAATAATCCCTGGGTCATGATATGTATAGAATTTAATTATTAAACATGAGAATACCTGGATAAACATGAGAATTTAATTATTAAAAATACTAATCAATTGAGAATTAACAATAGAGTCATACCTTTTGTTGATCAGAAATAAAAGTGTATGTGAGACACTCTTCTCTTCCACCTAGATCACCAATAAGCAGCTCCAAGAACCATGTCCAACTTTCCTTGTTTTCACTCTCCACTACTGCATATGCTATTGGTAGCATTTGATCATTGGGATCTCTGCCTATGGCTGACAGGATTTGACCTCCACAAAGCCCTTTCAAAAAACATCCATCAAGCCCTATGAAATGTCTACTTAACCTGAAGCTTTCCTTACAAGCTGCCAAGCATATGTAAATCCTTTTGAAGTGTAATTCCTGAACACCACTACCTTCTTGAGCTGGTTGGACATGTACTTTCACAGTTGACCCTGGGTTAGATCTTAACAACTCATGTGCATAGTCATAAATCCTTGTATAATCCCCTAAGAATGACCCATCAACCATGTCTCTTGCTGCAAACCTAGCCCTTATAGCCTTGGTTTTGTTGACCCCCACATTCCACTTCTTCTGCACCTTTTCCTTAATGTCCTTAAGCTTCATTCTAGGGTTGGTTTTAAGTGCATTCTGCAACCTCTTGCTAAGCCATTTAGTCTTCAACAACTTCACATTATATTCTCTACTGCAACTATGGGTGTCTACCACCTTTCTTAGTTGCCAAGTATCCTCAACATCCAACTTAGCCCAATAACCTTCCCATTCACATCCATCCTTACACCTAACCCTAACCCTTATCTTGTCATTTTTGATGTACTTTAAATTTCTGCCAGATTGGACTGCATAAGAGGTAACTGCTTCCTTGATATCTTCTTTTGTACTAAAATATGTACCCACTTCCCATTTGTAATTGGACATATCCTTTAGAAGCTTGAAAATGGGATACTTCTTTCTCTTGGTAGTATTGTTATCTTCACTATCACATTCACTTACAAGATTCTCACTTTCATTATCACTTCCTTTACTATCTTCTTTATTTGCTTCAGTTTCACAGAGATCAGTTACATCATCCTTACCTTCTTCCTCTTCCAAGTCAGTATCACACTCATCAGTTTCATCATCAAATACAACCTCCTTTGCACTATCATACGAAAAGCTACTATCATCAGAGCTATCATCATCAGAACTATCATCATTATTCTGTCCAACAACATTTTCACTTGCCGTCTTTTGTCCAACATCATCTTCACTTGCCTCATTCTATATAACAACATCTTCACTTGCCTCCTTCTGTCCAACAGCATCTTCAATTGCCTCCTTCTGTATAACAACATCTTCACTTGCCTCCTTCTGTCCAACAACATCCTCACTTACCTCATTTTGTCTAACTGCATCCTCACTTACCTCATTTTGTCTAACTGCATCCTCACTTACCTCATTTTGTCTAACTGCATCCTCACTTACCTCATTTTGTCTAACTGCATCCTCTTCCATTACATTCAAGGGTGTCTCATCTAAAATAACTTCACTCTCATCAACATACTCAGGCTGTGACAATGGGTGTTAAATAAAGACTTCAACACTTAAATGAACCCTATATAGATCAGCAATCTCTAAGGCCCTTTTGTCATCAAACAACAGATTCATTCCAGCAGTTGGATCCCTATAGTATATCTTCTCTATGGCTGGGTAACCTAGTTCCTTAATAGCACCCAATAACTCAAAATAACCCCACATATCAGCATCTACTCTCAAATCAGCAATCTCACCTCCTTCGTACACACTCAAGTCCTCACTAACAAATTGACCACTGTGGTGTATCGTAATATTAAGAATTTCCTCCATTACACACAATGCCCTAAATAGAGAGATGAATTTCAGAGAA